CAATCCTGGGCATCCAGCTACATGCTGACCAGCCTCACACAGGCACCTCCACATTCACAGGCTAAAAACTCAACTTCCTCTCTCCCCTCCCCTGGTGACCGGCACCCCCCCACTCCTGCTTTCTCAGGATCCGACACCTTGGCTCCTGTCCTTTGATCCTGGGCTTTCCCTTCTCCCTGTCCTGTGACGCTGCTCTCAGCTCAACTCTGTCTGTGCCAAGTGCCCTGGTTCAGGCCTCTTCACTTGCTGGGGAATTTCGTAGCTTCCTAATTTCTCTACTCCCTCTGATGTATTCTACACATAACCGATCTGCTTAGTTGCCCAGCAGCTAAGCCCTCATGTGCTGCAACTACCAAGCCCAGCTCCGAAACCAGAGAAGCCACCGCATTGAGAAGCCTTCGCACCGCAACGAGAGAGCAGCCCCCACGCACCGCAACAGAGAAAAGCCTAGTGCAGCAACGAAGACCCACCACGGACAAAAAAATAAGTAAATCTTGAAAAATCCTCCTGCTCTTGGCAGGAGACTCCATTGGAGGTCTTTCCCCCAGTTCCCACTTTGAGTTCCCTTCTTTCTCTCCGCTAGCCCACCACCATCTGGCTCTGGCCTCCACATTTTGGTTCAGAGGCTCATTTCTCGCAGGAATATCCCCTCAGCCCTTCCTCCCTTTCTTCCTCAACTGTTTCTTAACTGTCCAGAGCCAGGCTGGTGCTCACCCCTGTACCTGCAACCCTGGTAAACAAGCTACACTCAGCTTCCGCCTTCAGACAGTTTCAATTATATTTGGGAAAACTACAAACACCATGATAGACATTAGAGAATTTTTTTCCCCAAGTTTAGTACATACTAAAGGTCTTTGACACTTGAGAATTTTATTTTTGAACTGGAAATAAGAACATCAAAAGTTTAATAAAACGTTAGCTTTTAAAATTATTTTAAAATTAGAATCCTCTGTTACCAATACAAAGAGGAAAATGCATCAAATGCGAATAATAAGAGATTCTAATTCAGGAGGCTCGGCAGGGGAAAAGCAAGCCTGGTATTATCCTTCACAAAGAGCCAGAGGGCTGGGTTTCCATTATGTGGTGTATTTAACATTAACTGCACCATTGCAATCCTGCCTAACTTTTTGGTTTCCACTGGGCTATCCTCTTTTGCAGCTCAGAAATTTTAACTGAAGTCTCCAGCTGACTTGCTGGGCCTGTCATTAACAGGCTCCAGTACTCAGAGACTGCAAAGAGGGATGCTGTTCTTCTTTCTTGAAGAACAATAACAATCAAGACATCTGGGTTTCTGTAAATCTCATCAGCATCCATTACAGAATCTGTCATGTAATAAGTTTTTTTCAAAAGGAATTTGTTCATCCTTTCTCTTCCTCTGCATTCCCTATGTCTATCACAGAGCCTGACACACAGTAGGTGCAAATAAATACACTGAGTTGATAATTGTGCATGAAAACACCCACCTATGGGGACTAGAGCTTAACGTGGCAGAGATCAAAGAAACAAAAACCATAGCAACAGTAACAGTGGAGGCTTCTGGGGGAGCATTCCTCTTGAAAGACATCTTAAAAGAATGATCATGGAGAGACGTCCCAACAATGATCGGAAGAATATATGTCAACTCTGAGCATATCACAAACCAAAGTAATTTCAACAAGCACTAATAAGTTGGAAAAGGTTCTGAATCTGGAAGCACTGGGCATGCATACGCGCGCGCGCGCACACACACACACAGGTTTACATATGTATGTTAAGTGATACTCTTGTTAACAATGAGTGTTCTAGAACAGTTGCTTGACTTTAACAGCAGGAAGGAGTTCTATCTTTTAAAAGACATTCAAGGACTCAAAACCAAAGGAAAGATAACAAATGTTTATGGAGACAGCAGGGAAGCTTCTCAGTTTTAGAAGTTGGCTGAGGAGGTCAGTTGTTTAATCATTATGTTCTACTTTGATCAGATGGATCGACACTGACCTGTTTTCAGGTGCAGCAAAACCGCATTTACAAACGCAAAGCAGATGGTGAACATTTATGCGTTTGATTTAATATGAAGGTTTGAATGTGAACTGGACGGTGGACTCCTTTACTACACAAAGATTTAAAAGTCCTTTGTCCAATAAGCAAGCACTTCAGAAAAATAAACCCAGCAAGGCCAGGGGAACAGGGAGGGGCTTGAGCCACTTGAGCAATCCAGAGTCTCAAAAGACAACGAGACTTTGGATCATTGATCCCAGTTTCCAAATCAGACTGGGAAAAGAGGGTTCAGCTTGATACTAGGTGACAATTGATAACTGTTACCTGCTCTGGCCACAATGAATGAACTGTCCCGGGAGAAGTGACTCCACAACAGAGGAGCTGACATGACCTCCCCTCCGTCCGGGTCCCACGCGGCGCCCCCCACCCCCCCCAACGAGGCACTGCCCCCCCCACGACGTGCACGCAGCACCTCTGCGTGCCCGGCTAAGTGTGTGCAGGCGCCCGGAGGCACCAACCCAGAGCCAGAGTTGGCACAAGTTCCTCCCTTTTTCCAAACTGAGTAGGCAATAAAGTGGGTTGAGCCTCACATATAAGATCTTGTCTTGTTAGGGGCCCTGCCCCGGCTGAAAGTATTTTAAGAGGTATAGACATTGAGAAATGAACACAGAAACGGGGAGGGAGGCCTGAACTCTCGGCCCTCCTTACCTGCTGATTCCGTAACCGCAGATTCCACCAACCACAATTCCACCTGCAGTAGGTGGAATCTGTGGATGCAGAGGAACTGCGTATGTCTGGTTTACGGGAATTAAACACCCACTTAAAAAAAAAAATACAGTTGCCAAAGAGAAAGCAGCAATCTAAATGCCAAAAGCACCAAACACGGCTGAGGGAAGGAGTGGTGTTCAAATGATTAATTAATTACACTCACACTGGTTTTCCCTTGTACTGATCTCTCACACTAAGAGCCTAACAGACTTGCCAATTAGTTACATGTGAATCACCCTCCAGTTGCCTAATCTGCCTTCAAAGTTTGTACTCAGCTATTTGCCCTTACTTAAATGTCAACTTACATGGTTTTGTTTTAAGGAAGAAGAGAGAGGGAAACCAGCCTAATGTCCTAATATTTTAGCAACTAAGGATCTAATGGGCCCCTTTTAGATCTCATTTAAACAGGGCTGGTTCTCAGAAGAAATATGACTTCACTGTGGTAATGAGTTGAGGAACCTGAACAAGATCCTGTTGCACTGGCCCTGAAAGTCAGTTTCTGTGAAACGCCAGTGTAGCTATTTAAAATTAAAAAAAAAAAGGGGCGGGGGGAGGTGGACAAAGGAAGAAACACTTGAATGCAGCTTCAGAGAATCAGAGGAGATTTTCTTAGGAAGTCAGTCATCAGTTGTTATTCTTTTTAAAGTACACAGTTTATTTTCACATGGCCTCTTGAAATGTAATTAACAATTCTTACATAATGGAGAATTATTCCTTTTTATTTTATATGAAATATATTATATATATATATATTCCAATATATTACTATTCCAAAATTTATTCTTTAAAGGTGACTTGCTTTTGCAGCAGTAAATGTCAAGTCCAAGTGTGACTGAAGTTCTTTCTCTCTTACACACAAAGCCCACACGTGAATGCTGGCTCCACCTCAGTTTTTAAAAGCGAACCTCGTGACCACATCCTCCCTGCAGGCTTCCCCTCCACCCCCTCTGGGGCGCACTATAGCCTCTGCTCAGAACCTGGGCCTCTGGGGACACTTGGGCCTGGTCCACAGAGGAGGGAATGTTACCCGCAGCCTGGCCAGCGTTGTGTGTGTGTGTGCTAAGTCGCTTCAGTTGTGTCCAAATCTGTGCAACTCTATGGACTCTAGCCTGCCAGGCTCCTCTGTCCATGGGATTCTCCAGGCAAGATTCCTGGAGTGGGTTGTCACGTCCTCCTCCAGGGGACCTTCCCAACCTAGGGATCCTTTTTCAAAACATGGTGGTTTGAAGGCTTCTCAGGCGTGAATGAGCCTATGAGAAATTCTTGAAAACTTTCAATAGTGGGACAGGATGGGGAGGCCACAGATGTATAGGAAAAGTGTATTAGCTTGACTTGCCTTGGGGACCCATTCTTTAAGAGAAAGTACAGGATAAGCTGTGTCAATCATCACCTTGCAAGGTCACCCAGGGAATAGGACATGTGATGCAGGATAAGTTAGAATTTCTGGTTTGGGGCAAATGAGAGAAAGTGTTTACTAGATTTAAAATAAATCAGTACAGGAATTCTCAGCAGTCCAGGCCTTAGGAGTGCACATTTTGACTGCCAAGGGTGGGGTTCCATTCCTGGTTCAGGAACTAGGATCCCACAAGCCATGTGGTGTGGCCAAAAAGTGGAAATTAATTAATTAACTACATTTAATAAGTCAGTATTCACACAATAAAATGACTGGACTGCCATGAAAGACCAGGAAGCAGCCCTGGTATCTCCTGCTCTTAGATTTCTGCTCTTAAGAAATATCCCTGGCCTTTACAAATCTGGCCAGCTCTCTGAAGATCAGGTCAACTGATGCCAGGTGCACTTTCAGGAGAAATGACTGTGCATCAGCAGATCCAACAGGCCATGAGCTCGATTTTAGAAGTCAAAATTGACAACCGGGTAAACGTGGGGAGGAAAGCAACAGGGCACATCTTCACGTGGTAGGTCGCAAGAGCAGAAGGAGGTCGCAAGCACAGAAGTGTCCCGAGGACTGGTGGGCTCCGGCTGGTGACAGCGGTGCTCTGGTCACTAAACCATTCTGCACCACAGGGCCCTACGGGGGCCTCAGAAAAAAATGCAATGAAATTACAATGAGATCATACTGTTTAACGGGCCCTAACCGAAAGAATCTTTTATTTCAGAAAGCACACTTAAAAATTCTTATAGAAAATGAAAGTTACTATTATGTATTTACTTGACATGAAAAAAACATGAATTCTATTTTACGGAGCAAAAGGCATGAGTGAAACCCATTTGAAATAAATGTTATGAAAGCAACTCACCTGGAAATCCTGATCATCGATTCCAAACCTCTCCCGCAGGTTACGGAAAACCATGGGGCAGTATTCCTTAAACTTGAAGTGGCTTGGCATGTTTTCTCTGAAACAGTCAGATTGTGGAATAAAGTTCAGATATACAAACAGTGAATCTGCCACCATCCTGCTCACCTGCAGCCAACGACGTGCGTGGAGCTCCCCACCCACAGATGGGCTTCAAGTGAGACGCGAACTCGCTTGAACTCGCTTGTGTAAGAGAACTGGGGTCTATAGCTGCTACAACCCACAGTAAGACCCGGGGACAGAAGGGACAGACAGTCAGGGGAGACAGTGAAAGGGAAGCAAGAGGCTTGGAGAGCGAGGGAAGGGCAGCAGGGTGCAATGATGCTCCCCACATTCTAACAGCTGGGAGTGAAGTGAAAGTCCCTCAGTCGTGTCCGGCTCTTGGCGGCCTCATGGACCATACAGTCCATGGAATTCTCCAGGCCAGAATACTGAAGTGGGCGGCCTTTCCCTTCTCCAGGGATCTTCCCAACCCAGGGATTGAGCCCATGTCTCCCACGCTGCAGTCAGATTCTTTATCAGCTGAGCCGCAAGGGAGGCCCTCTAATAGGTTACCTTCTGACTAAAGCTTACAAAACAAGACCTTCTCTCACTCCTGGCTTGACCTGTTTTATCTTTTGTGTAAATACAGAATTCTAAATTCATATGGAAAGATCCCCCTTAAAAGGTCAACCTTTAAAGAGCATTATGAGAATAATTAACACAGCAGCTTCACATTAGAAGAATGGCCCTATTAAGGAATTTCACAGTTGATCCTCACGTGAGAGAGATTTCTCTGGGGTTCATCCCACTCACTCAGAATTGCTTCCTCCTTTTTGTTCACACATGCACACATACACACACCCCTTAGTACTCTGCACATATGACAGGAAGTGATGGTAATTTATACATGTGTCCATTTTCAATCACTTGCCTGACTGTGAACACCCTGAGGGCAGAGTATTCTTTTTATAAAAAAATTTTTTTCTAGATTTTTTTTTTTTTTTGGATGTGGACCATTTTTACAGTCTTTACCAAATTTTGTTACAATATTGCTTCTTTTTTTTAGGTTTTGATTTTTTGGCCTTGAGGCATGTAGGACTCTCAGCTCCCTGACCAGTGATTGAACCTGTGCCCCTTGCATTGGAAGGCAAAGTCCCATCCATGGGCCACCGGGGGAATCGCAGGGCAGGATATTTCTTATCCATCCCTGTATGGCCGGCTCTTGGTGTGGCGCCACAGAAGGTGCTCCCTAATGATGTCTAAAATGACATTTGAAAGAGGGAGAAATAGCCTCAATGCCCAACATGGCTTCCAATTACATTTTATAAAAATGCACCTTAATTCCTTATTGTTCTAGGAAGCAGTCATTTCTGTTCATGAAGGAATCATCAGCAGAGTTTTGTGTAAGGTCTATAGCTGAGGTCTATAGCTGCTAAAAAAAAAATCCAAGCAATTTACAGCTTCAAACATTTAAATTGTAATGAGAATATCACTTTTAACATATAAGATATTCATAGAGAACAATATGCCATATGGCAAAAAGATATTACCCAAGAAGGCCTGCTGTTGCTTCTCTGAAAATGACAGATGGTTATGTTTATCACAGGATTAACTTCATCAGCAAAACTTTACTCCCACCCATTGAAAAATAATGTGATTATAGAAATTCACAAAAACCACACTCCTGGCAGCCACGTCAGTTCTACAAAAGGTCGTGCTTGTACTTACTTGTTAAAAAGGTGATTGTCCACCTTTATCTTCGAATAGGCCTTGAAGTCATCTGGCATCAACATAACAGGGATTTGAACATGGCTCAGTTCATTGATCTAGGAAAACAAAATAAACGGTACAGGTCGTTAGTACCTAGGTGGGAAGCACTTATCTTGAACACGTCCTTTACCAGGGAAACCTGGTGGATGCTCGAACCTCCTAGACCACTTTCCTCCCTGTTCCCATCCTGCAGCTGCTTCCCTCTCTCTCTCAGCCACCACCACGGTCTCCCACCTCACACCAAGCTCCAACTTCCCCTGCTCATCCCTGTCTGGCACTGGCCTCCGGGATGGCAGGGGCAAGAGAGGGGTTCTGGGGGGGTGAACCCTCACAGCCAGCCATCCCGGCTCCTCTCTATCCATCCTCCCACGTCCTCTCCAGAGCCTCAACCCAGAGCTCCTTTGAGCACATGTCCAGGGCAACTTCTCTCTGTAAATACTATCTGATAAAGAGGGCCTTTTAACTTCTGATATAAATATTTGTGGAGGGACTTCCTTTGTTGGTTGTCCAGTGGCTAAGACTTCCTGTTCCCAATGCAGGGGGCCTGGGTTGATCCCTGGTCAGGGAACTAGAACCCACCTGCTGCAATGAACATCGAAGACCCTGGTGCCACAACTAAGACCCAGCATAGCCACATAAAGAAATAATTTGTTGAATTATGACTACTTCTTTATACTTTGGAGGTACTCAAAAGGCAACATTGCCATCCATGGGGGTTTACCTTTCTTATGGGACCTAATTTAAAAATAAATATTAGGGTGGGACATGAATTTACCAGAAGAGGAACCTTCAGCAAGAAAAGAAAAGAAACATATGGCCATGGGGTTAGATGAGAGGGAAGTGGGCTGGACAGGGGTCAAGACCAAGGCACATCTCTACGTGGTTACAGAGAGAGAACAAGAGGTTAATCCATCTCAGTTTACATTCCCATGAATGGCTGGGACAGCTTTTGACACCTGATTGAAAAAGCTGAACCTTCCCTTCGTTAATTATTTCTGCATTTAGCTCCCAAGTGATAATTCCCTGGTTACTAGTAATAAAAATCATGTTAAAGGTTTATGGGTTCAGTCGTTAAGTTTGCAACCCCACAGACTGCAGGCATCCCTGTCCTTCACTATCTCTTGGAGTTTGCTCAAATACATGTCCATTGAGTCGGTGATGCTATCTGTCTCTCTCATCCTCTGCCACCCTCTTCTCATTGCCTTCGATCTTTCCCAGCATCAAGGTCTTTTCCAATGAGTCAACTCTTTGCATCAGCTGGCCAAAGTATTGGAGCTTCAGCATCAGTCCTTCCAATGAATATTCAGGGTTGATGTTCTTTAGGATTGACTGGTTTGATCTCCTTGCAGTCCAAGGGACTCTTAAGAGTCTTCTCCAGCACCACAGTTCCAAAGTATCAATTTTTTGGTCCAACTCTCACATCTTTACATGACTAATGGAAAAACCATAGCTTTGACTCTATGGACCTTGTTGTCAGCAAAGTGATATCTTTGCAAAGTAAATCGAAGATACATAGCAGGGGTTCTTAGTTACAAAAACAAAAAACAAAATGAGTTTCTTGATACATCAGAGTTGTTAACCCATTGCTGGGTTCATAGAAAGTATAGGAAATCATTAAGACACGCTCCTTCCCCTAAACTGAGTTTAATCCATAGGGCATGTGCAAACCATTAAGTAAGCCTGAAAGGAGAGGCTTCTGTGAAGGTAAATGCCAATTTCAGTTTGGGTCAAAGGATAGCTGGGGAGCTCAACCCAAGACTTCAGCACTAAGCTAGAACTCTTGAAAGAAGCAAAAGTGGTCCCAACGCCCAGGGGAAATAAATGCAAACGGTGCCTGGAAGAAAGCATTCCTAACACAGTCCTTCAGGATTCCCACAGATGAAGTTCAATCAAGTTTGGGGTCACAAAGAAATGAGAGTTAACAGAAAACTTGATATTATGTTCAAGACTTCAGCTAGTAGAAGAATCAGATACAGAATAGAAAATTAAGACTATGTATAAAATGTGTAAAGAAGGGACTGCCCTGGTGGTCCAGTGGTTAAGACTCCAAGCTTCCAATTCTGGGAGCATGTGTTTGATCCCTGGACAGGGAGCTAAGATCCCACATGCTGTGTGGCACAGTCAAAAACTTAAAAATAAATAAAGAATAGTGGTTATAGTGCTCATGTTCTGTTCAGGAGGAGAGGCAAGAAATTAACTGTAGACTTTAAGTATTATGCAATAAGTTTAAAGGCAAATATTAAAAGAATAAGAAACACAGTATATAACTTCCAAACAGAAAAACAGAGTAGGAAAAGAAAACTCAATTAAAAAAAAAGAAACACAAGCAGGAAGAAAAAAAATTTTTGCACAGCAAAAGTGGGACAAATAGAAAGTTACTGATAGAAATAAATCTGGAGATTTTATATATATATATATAATCACAACAGGCATAAATAAACTAGCAGTTAAAACTAAAGGTTGTCAAAATGAATTAAAAACTATAAGTGATGTGCATGAGACAACTAAAAACATAAGTTGTCAAATACATCAAAACTTAAGGAATAGAAAAAATATATTAAATAGTACTAAAAATTGCTGGAAAGCTAGCCTAGTTTTATTAATATCAAATAAATGAATAACTCTAAGACAAAAGCATTACTGAGGACAAAGAAGGTCTGGACACAGTGATAAAAGGTTCAGTTAGTCAGGAAGACAAGATTCCTATGGTATAAGGACCTAATTAATCTGAGAGTATAGAGCAAAAATTGTTAGAACCTCAGGGAAAATGGGCAATCCGTTATTAAAGAGGCACATTTGCATATGCTTTTATTGATATAGTTCAGACAGACACAAAATGAAGAAAGTTAGGGGTTTAAACAACATATTAAATATCATTCACTTGGTATTTGTTGCACACCTATTATTGCCAAGTATTATTCTTCTAGCAGCTTGGGTTACATGGTGGAACAAAACAGATTAAGATGCCTGCCCTCTGGAGCTTCTGTTTTAGTGGAAAGAGTCAGAAGATAAAACAATAAACTTAGTAAAGTACCATGTTAGAAACAAATGATCTACTAGGTTAAAAGGCTATAGAAAAAGGAGAAAGAGTAGGACAGAAAAACTAGAGAATGCTCGTCAGTAAACTGTGAGGGTCACTGAACTATTTAAAATAGGGTGGATTCCAGGAGGCCAAGGTTTGGAGAAGATGAGATCTAACGTGGCAGTGCAAAGGCCCTGGGGTGGGGACATGCCTGGAATGCTTGGGACAAGGAGGCCAGTGTGGCTGGAACAGATTAACGAGGGGAGAGACAGTAAGAGCTGAGGTTACAGGTAAGGGGAAGTGGTTTCTGTAGGGCCTTGCTTGTCACTAGAAAGACTCTGGCTTTTACTCTGAGAGATAGGGGAGCCCTTGCAGCTTCTGGGTGATAAAGCAATGAAATCAGTTAACTCAGGGTTTAAAAAGATCATGGGGTGGGGCAGGGGCACAAGCATGGAACTAGGGAGACCAGTTACAAGGAAGTGTAGTAACAGCCTGGTTTTTGTTGTTCCCGTTCTTGTTTTGGCATGGCATGCAGGATCTTAGTTCTCTGACCAGGAATGGAACCCAGGCCCCCACCAGTGGAAGCCCAGAGTCTTAACCACTGGACCACCAGAGAATTTCTGTAATAGCCTGTGTGTAGTTAGAGATGGGGAATCAGATTGTGGGTATTTACTGAAAGTAGAGACAATGTGATTTTCTGCAGTTCTGGATGGGGGAGTGTCAGAAAGACACTTTGGTCTAAAAGGCTTTGGTCTAAACAGTCAGAAGATGGAGCTGCCATCAACCAAGATGGGGGGACTTCTCACTGTGTTCCTTTTTATGCCTTTTTTTAAAAAAATTCATTTAATTTATTTATTTTTGGTTGAACTGAGTCTTCATTACTGCCCTTGGGCTTTCCCTAGTTTTGGCAGGCGGGGGGCTACTCTTCATTGTGGGGTTCGGGTTCCTCTTTGCAGTGGCTTCTCTTGTTGCAGGGCATGAGCTCTAGGTGCACAGGTTTCAGTAGTTACAGCGAGCAGGCTCAGTAGTTGTGGCTCGAGGGCTCTAGAGTGCAAAGGCTCAGAAGTTGTGGCTCATGGGTTTCGCTGCTCCTCAGCATGTGGAATCTTCCTGGACCAGGAACCAAACCCATGTCCCCCACCTTGGCAGACAGATTCTTATCCACTGTACCACCAGGGAAGTCCTCTTTTTATGCTTTTTGATTTTTGAATCATGTTGAAGAATTGCTTGTTCTAAAAATTAGATACTTTAAAAAAAAACCCTATGACAAAAATGTACATGTAAGCTATCAGCAATAGTTATAAAATATATATTATATCCACATAATACTTAATGGGTCTTCCCTGGTGGCTCAGTGGTAAAGAATTGGCCTGCCAATGCAAGGGACATCAATCGGATCTGTGAGTCAGGAAAAGACCCTGCAGAAGGAAAAGACAACCCACTCCAGTATTTTTGCCTGGGAAATCTCATGGATAGAATTATATTATGTTGAGCCCTGCATGAATTTTTGGATTGGATACCACCACCCTCATTTCTGGATCCACACTGACTTTCAAGTGGTACTTGTTTTTGTTTTTTTTTGATATGACTGTTGCAGTTCCAGTTTCCCGAAGCTTGTCACTGTACTGCAGGAAGCAGCATGAAGCTGAAACTGTGAACTCCCTCAAATAAGTACTTTGCGTGGTGTCTCGCAGATGCTGAGGTCATCATGGTTCCCTTGGAATTTTAAAATATTCCAGAGCACTCCTGAATTTGCTGCAATGCCCTGAGCACCTTGGCACATTTGGGGGACCACAGGTATAAACAGCAGCAGATGCTTAAAACAGCAAATGATCAAATATAATTAGAGAATATTTATATTCTAAGATAATAAAAATAATCCCCTAAATGCATTGTACTGAATTATAACCTGTAACCACTTTATATTCACCCCAAACAACCTTAATCATTAGCCCATATAAACTGATGATCTCTACAACCTTTTCAAGTACATTGTTTTCTTGAGATAATGCTGTATCAACTGTATTTGTGCAA